ACTTCGTCGGCGTTTGTAGAATCTTGATTATCTGTGATGCACATCTTCTCTTTACTTTTCGTAGATGTTTTGTCTGAACTATCATCAGTTGTTACAAGAGAAGAATCCAATTCTATGATTGTACTTGAAGAATCAATGTCAGTTGTTGTCGAAGAGTTGAATATGAAGATAATTTCATATCGGTATTCAGGTGGATTTTGGCTTCTTGGTGTTGCTTTTAGGTAAAAAAGCTGTTCTTCTTCGTTGTTAGTTCTTATGAGATCTTTTAGTTGTGTGTCCACGTCCTGAAATATTAAAATTATACTCATTTAATATGATGAAGTAAATGCAAATAATTATTAAAAATTTAGTAGTATTTGGAGTTAACCTTTTCAAAATGGTTCATAATTTGGACGGCATTTGCTTCCAATAAAGTTTCTGCGGTTTCTCCTATTATGGTTGCATCCAAGCCTCCAGAGTTGTCTTCAATATGTACGAAAGCAGTTACCCTATATGGAGAAGTTAATTAAATTACATAGTAAGTTTTGTTAAATGAAGTGTTATTTTTAATAAATAGTTAAATATAGGTTTAGAGTACATGTTACCTTGGTATTGCTTTTGCATGTTCAAATTTGCAGTTCTTTGTTTGTTTCAATCCTGCATAAATAAAGCAAACAACGAAGTGTGAGATTTACTACCGAAATTTATAAAGTTAGAAAAATAGAAGAAATTTGTTAGTTCTATTCGATAACCATTCTTTGTAGTCTGTGACAGCTACAATTGCAGGATTAATGAAAAAAGTGCTGTTCACTTTTGTAGAGAGCGTAAGTCCTAAAAAAATAAAAAATTTCAATCATAAAGTTAGTGTTCATTTTACTTTAAATATAAATGTAAGCAAAATATTTTTTTTATTCTGTTTACCGTTGTACGAAGAAACTTTTAAATTAGTCACCCAGATGATTGGTTTGCTTCCAATGTTATCTATTATAGTAACACACTCATTTTCAACAAAAGTGTCCCACATCGTTAATATGATCGTCTGGAAAGACTTATCTATCAGCACAACATCTTGAAGACAAGCTTGTGTGCCAAACTGGGTTTGGATAATTCTTTTTTGACGAACTTCTATTACGACGCCTATAACACCTGCAAAAAAGAAGTTGTGTTGATATCATATTTTGTATATGATTAATGAATATAAATAGAACGATTAAAAAATATTAACTAAATTTATATTTGCTATAAGTTAATGTGTTTGTGATCATACTTATCTCTTCATTACTATCCATGTATCGTTCAAGTTTGTTGAATGCTGTGAGTTCATATCTCGAGAAGAGAAGGTTTAAGTTATCCTCCTTAAGTTCTTCTATCTTTGTCTTTGCTGTTATGGTCCAAACTTTGTCTTCAAGCGAGCCTCTGAACTCATTTCTGTTGTCTTTTACAGTTGCATTTGATAACATGTATGTTTTTCCTAGTGTTAGCTCATCTGCAAGAGCCGTAATATTTGTATCATAGATTATGGCAGTAACTTTGTTATCCTGTTCAAATGTAAAAATGAGTTCTATATAAATATATTACGAAAACAAATATTTAGAATAGAAATAAGAAGATTCGTAAATATATATTTACCTCTAAATCCATTAAGAGAAGGTTTTGGCAGCGGCTAATGTTATTTCGAGCAGTTTTAGGTGCTTGTTTTCCTGCAACTATGATTTTTGCAGTCCAATTCTTCTCAAAAGTGGAAATCTGTGGGATAAGTTTATAAAATGCGGCCATTCTTGATATCCTATGATTATGTGAAGAAGAAATTATTACACAAATAGTTACAATTGTTAATATTACGTTAAATTTATCGTAAACAAATGATATCAATTTTTTTAATTCTAAAAGTTTTTTTATGAAATAATCTAACGTTCTTCTTTTGGATTAATAAAAGATAATTATAGTAAAACGATAGTAACATGTAAAACTTACCAATAAGAAAACGAAAACGAAAACGAAAACGGAGTTTTTAAACTTTTGCAGTTGTAGTTGAAGAGTATGATGTTTACGATACTGTCGTAGAATTTTGATGCTGAAGGGGAAAGTAAAAGTAACATAAAATTATTTAGTCGAAAGCAGATATTAATAGATAGAACATAAGTAGAAGAATCTTTGTTTTAATATCCAACCATACACTTGGTTTGTAAAATATCTTTTTGCATGGATGAGTATTAAAGTGAAAGAAAAGGTTAATGATGGTTTATATGAAAAAGTTATGCGTGGAAAGTTGGCACTATTTTTTTTCATTTGTAAAATATCTATTTTACATGTGTGTGTATATATATATATATATAATTGATGATGGTTTATACGTTTAAAAGTTGTGCGTGGAAAGTAACTACTATTTTTTGTCATTTGTAAAATATCTATTTGATGTAGATATATACTTAGTATTGAAAAAGCTTTTATAAAAAGTTGGTAGTTTTCTGTGTTAATTTTTTACTGGTTCACGTGTTGATTTTGAAAAAGATTCGTTTATAATTTGCTAAAATTTAATACATTATGTTAGATTTACAAATTGGAAGAAGGATTGTTAATCCATATGTTTCAAATACGAGTGTTTCATGGATAATACATTTAGTAAGTAACTTTATTTATTCACTTTATTTATTAAGTAATTTTATCTATTCACGAACTTGTGGGGAGCTTAACTTATATTATTATAGGTGTTATCAGTTTAAATGTTACTATCGTTGTTGTTTGTCTTTTTTTCTTTATTTTCTGTTGGATTTATGTATTTTGAAAAACTATTGTGTTCACTTATTACATGAGTAAGAAGAAAAATCAATTTATGGTCGAAAAATGTATGAATTGTATGAAAAACATTAGTTTTTAATTAAGCGAAAGAGTAAATATAAAACTTCGAATCCAGGACATTGAAAAATATAATAAAGGATACTAAGGTTGAACCATCATTTATTATAAACAAAAATTTGTATTTCAGGTACTTGAATACATCACCGTGGATGTACTTCCCCTTAGTTTCCTCTTCATCATCAGCTAACTTCTCATTGTCGGTTTACCTTACCACAAAAAAGACGATAAATAGATTAGATATAGGACGTTCAACATTCATGCATTAATCGCCATAATGCATTCATTTAGGAAGGACCAGAGTTAAAATAACATAGACAAAAGGATGCAAAAAGTCAAAAAATACATATTTGATATAATTGACTGAATTTCTTATCTAAAGTTATAATAACTGAAGACATAAACGAATGAAGATAGCAGATCTTATCCCTTGTTTGCGACAACATCAAGCATGACATGAAGATTATATGAAACGTAAAGCAGTTCAAACTATTATAGAAAAGAGTTAGAAGATATTTAGAAAATTTATATGCATGGTTTAATATCTATTGCAATAATCAACTTCTTATTTGTCAAAGAATATAAGTCATTTCTAACTTGAAGAAACCTAGAAAGGTAAAAAAAATGTCAATGCTGAATTAGATATAATAGTGACAAGGCAAGGTGAAAATTAGCAAAATTGATCTTCACACATACTGAACCAACGATCACTAAATTTCACTAATACTGTGTCTAATATTCTACAAATAATAAATTGAAATTACATAACATTTCAAAGAGAAATGTCGCACGCGAATTATACTAACAAATGTTTCAATTCCTATAGACTATTTCAAATTAATTTCAACAATTCAGAACAAGAAAAGAAATTAAGGCTAGGTAACGTTTTTTTTTTTTTTTAAGATGGAATCATGAATTAAAGTTTTCGGTAGCAGATTGTCTTTGGCTAGAGAAGAATATATATCGTATAAAAAAAATATTATTAGACCCTTAGTATAAGAATTACTTTGACAGATGGATTTGGAAATACGATGGAAAACACTTAAAATGCTTCCTAGATGAATAGTAGACGTAAGATTCCATTTTTTAAAAGAGTAGGAATGTAAAGAATAAGCATCTTGAAAATTTTTCTTTTCGTATGTTCATCATTCGATTAATAAAAATTGAAAATATCATATACTAAAAAACATAACAATATAGCATAATGTAAGGAAACATATCATCATATAATTCAATCCAAATTCCGTCTTTGCATATTTATCAGCATTGAAAGTGAATATATTTTCGACCATGTAAGATTAATCGTCTCTAGATATAGGATGACTGTAATCCTACTCTGAAAAAATAACATTGTTGGTTAGAATTTAGATTAATAATAAAATTAGTAAAAAATTTTTTATTAAGTTTCCCATAAAATCAATTCATGCGTTGATAAAGAAATATGTAATGTATATAGAATAAAAATAGTTGCTCACAAAATTTTTTGTTCACCAAACCAAGTTAGATGATTAAATAGGAAAGCGTTAATGTACACACACCAGTTTGATATATTCTATCAAGAAGAATAATGTTAAATTCACTTAAATATTTCCTAACGTTGCATGAAGTAAAGGGAAAGCATAACATGTTCATTAAATTCTAAAAGAGCATCAAACCATCACTATGTAAAAATTAATTAGAACAAGGAATATTATTGGACTATCGAAATTAAAAGAAACTTATGTATTATTGATCTTATTGTATAAAATCAACAGAATTCAAATATATAACATTAGCATATTTTTAGTTCAAGATCATTTGTTGAAATTGAACATTTCATGATTCACTTGCATAAATGAGATTTATTGACCAATTGAAACATAGTTTAAACAAAAGGGAAAAATATAAAATATGATTAGAATGTAACGTACCAAGTAGGTCATGACATTGCCAAGAGTTGCGTTTTATGGTCAAATTAATGAAAATACCTTGCCCCATAACTACCACAAGCATTGCATGGCTCTGATTTATCTGAGCTTCAGTAGTAAGCTTCTGTACCAAGTTCTTACCTATTTTCATATTCCCAAAGTTTATAATTTGATTTCCAAGATGTAAGCTATCTGCTGCTGCTGAAGATCCTTTTGTAATTTTATCAACCATTGCGAAAGGTTTGCTAGAGCAAACAACTACCCCATGTCCATACTATTATTACCTCCAGCAACGGGATTGCTAAAAGACGTAGGTGTGCTCAAAGTAACACCATGTTGAGCATTTAATCCTGCAAACACACTTAGAGAAATTAAGATAATGCTTTAAGTAGCTTGCATAAAGTAGTGTATTAGACTAATTCATTATAAAAGCAAAAATCAGATTATAAATAGCTGATGACAAAGCCATAAATCGTATTTTACACTTCATTTGTAAGCAATTAAAGTGCAATTCCGTTAGTGTACAAGTGGAACCAGCAAGAAGCAGAAGCAGCAAAATGATTTCAATAAACCATGAGCTTCAAAAGGAAAATCAAGCATTAGTCTCCCTATTGATAGAATTACGGTAGCATAAAATTGTCCAAGAATCAGAACGTATGATGCACAAAGGGCAGACAAATTATATTTAAGACTTAAATTTAGGAAACTTATAATATTCATAGAGAAACTAATTTTTAACAAATCTACCTCAAAAACTTATTGACATCAATTAGATTATTAAAAGAAAATCAAAAGGATTAGAAATCCAGTTGAATCAATCAAGATTTAGAACACCATAACAAAGCAACATAATTGAATTAAATCCTCATCAACAACTCAAAAGGTTTCCGAAAACTAAACTAAAAAAGAAAATTATTGGCTACAATGTTCTTCCTCTTCTTTTTCGTTATTAATATGCGCTTCTTTATCAAATAAGTTTGACAGCCTTCGATTCTTCTGCCATTTACTACAGTGACCATCATCGTCCTATACTCTTCATTATCACCTTCCTCCGCTAACTCGAAAAGAAAAAGAGAAGAAGAAAAAGAGCTAGGCCCTTACCGTAAACAAAAGTTGAATAATAGAAAAAGCCTCCTTCTTCCATTGCCAAGAACATAGACAGTGTATTTCAAGTGTACTTCAAATGGATCTCTCCTTTAGCCGAAAGTTTGAGAACAAGGGCAAGAGTTTTGAGAAAGAAAGCTAGAGTTTTGTTTAGGGTTAAGAAAGGAGATACTGTTTCATTTATTCAAAAAAAATATGAACTGTAGAAAAAACGGTTGTGGAACAGTGGGCGTAAAAGGCTGTGATATAAATGAACAGTAATATAAACCCCCTCTTTTAAGAGGAAGTAGAAATAGTATTAATTACGTATATCTTAAATGTGAAAGACTGTAAAATATATAAGGGGAAACAACTTGAAGTTGATAATAAGGGAATCTGAAATTGAGTTTCCATAAAATCCATAATTATACTAATTTTATTTTTTTTTTGACAAAGTTAAACATTGTGATAATTGGCATAAGAGCACATTTTAACTGATGGAAGAATATTTATGTGACAATGTGAAACTCTTAAGGGTAAATATATTCTAAAAATAGAGAAATTACTTTTTATTTTGAAATTTTACTAAAGTAAATTAGTTATCGATCTGGCAAACTATTAAACTAACACTAAAAAATTTGAATCATACCTTTTGCAAACGCAAGTTGTAATTGAAGCTGGCATTAGTGATTCCATCGTACACATGTAGCAAAGAATTAAAAAGAACTTTTCATTCCCGATAATGAAACCTGTGAAATTTTTTTATAGCAAATGCAAAGAATAAAAAAAATAGTAACGACATAATTTTTCATGTATTTAAAATTGAGGAAACTATTGTACGAGAACATATCATAAAAATTTCTCGAAGATAAAAAATATACCTGTTCAAACATTTTAGGTATACGAATATATAAACGAAAGAATTTCCTTGTACACAACATTTTTAGTACATGTATTATGTGAGTTGTCCATGCTTGATGGTTTCAATAAAACTTTTAGAGATGTGCTCGTTGTTGCTCTTGATAATGCTACATATAGCTGACCATGGCAGAAAACTGGTTCTGGAAGATATAGACCGACAAAATCAAGCGTTTGACCTTGTGCTTTATTTATTGTCATTGCAAAACACGGTCTAATTGAAAATTGAGTTCTCTTAAATTGAATTGAGTTTCGATCACTTTGAAGAGGTATAAAATGGATCCTTGGTAAGAAAACATATTTCCCACAATACTCACCAGTTGTAATTTCAGCAAGAATTACGTTTTTCTCAAATTTTCGACAAGTAAGGCGTGTTCCATTGCATAATCCTTCGGAAGGATTAATATTCCGTAATAACATTACAGGACAATTTACCTTAAGTTTCAATTCATGCGGTGGAATACCATTTGGTGTCAAAGTATTCAAGAAATCTTCGTGCAAGCTTTGTTCCGATTTGTCAATTGCTTCATCAAAACTATAGTATGTGGAAAAATCACCGGGAATTTGTTCGAGTAAAATCTTGTTAATATAATCAACACATTCATTCGTAGGTGTAAGAATAACTCTATTTATCATATTATGTAAATTGTCAACATATGCTAGTATATTTGGAAAAACATAATGTATCAAAAGTTTTAAAGATGTGATTTCATCTTCAAATGGTAGAATTATACTATTCGGAAGCATAATGCACTTACAAGTATATTCTTCTTCTGTTCCATTTCCAATTCTGAGTAAGTAAGTGCAGAACATAGGATCTGATTTTGCCCTCATATTCTCAACCAATGGTAAACGTAAATAGGAAGGCCATAGGTCTGAAAAGACCAAGCTAGCTTTCATTACATCATCTTTTTTTCCTCTCGGTACCACTGGAAGAACCTGTTGAAAATCTCCTCCAAAAACTATCACTTTCCCACCGAAAGGTAAGTTACAATCAGTAATATCTCTAAGCATTCTATCTACAGCTTCAATAGCGCAACGATTTACCATAGGCGCTTCATCCCAAATTATTAACCTAGACATTTTTCAACATTATTCCTAAAGCTGATTGCTTGCTAACAGAACAATTCACTTCACCAATTGTTTCTAAAAGAATTTTAAATCTTGAATGAGATGTGCGACCTCCAGGTAACAGAGACACAGCGACTCCAGAAGACGCTGTTGCCAAAGCAATCAAATGTTGACCTCTTACAGCAGTTAGAAGTGCTTTGTATAAAAAAGTCTTCCCCGTTCCCCCTGGACCATCAATGAAGAAAGTACCACTTGAGTCATTTTTTACTTTTTCCATAACTTTATTATATGCAAATCGTTGTTCTTTATTGAATTTCTCTACACAATTAAAGTCTCGTTGAATATTAAAATTCATTGTTTCCTCTGCAATCATTCTTACCAATCTTTGAGTCTCATCTATATTTATAAAGAATGAAACTATTCCATAATCATTTACATTTTTTCCCGACGATTCTAATATAGAATTGATGTCTTCCAAAGCTTGTATTTCAGCATCTCTAACACATATGTTTCGATGTACATAATCATCAATCATATAGGCTTTATATTTATCCCACAATAACTTTGGATAATTAGGGTTGCAAAGTGTAAGAAGTGTAGCAAAAAGACGTCTTAAAGAACTGGGCATTTTGTAAATAATGGCTTCAGATAGACATTCTTCACAATGGTTGTCTCCTTTTAACAAACCATGTAAACGTGCTACTTCTCGATATGTATTGACTGTTACTCCATTTAAAGTTTTAAAACTGTCATATGATGTTGGACCTTTAATATGATTCAGAAGAACACGAAGGAAATAACGTTTTCCTTCGGATGGATTAACTGTCACGATTCGCCCTATAACAATGTGTTGTTTTCTGGGAGTCCAAGTTTTTCCAATTGCATTCCACACAAAATGTGTTGGAAAATCTCGATACAATAGCGTTCGAGCAAATTCATTTACTTCATTCATCCGAAAAAATTCAGTTAGCATTGTTCTTCTCGTATACTCATTTCCAATAATAACAGATAAATCATCTTTACTATTATAAGTTACGTGCTGATGATCTTTAATATGAAGTTGTAAAGCGTAAACAGTAGGATAAATTTCTGACAAATTAAAAGAAAAAATTCTCCACATAGCTTCAGGTGGAGATATCCATCTAGCTGATTGATAAGCAAAAATTTCATCAATTTCCTTATCTGTTTCATTTCTGCCTACGAAACAATTAATACGATCATGTCCTTTATACACATATTTGTACAAATATTTTACTGCTTTAATATAAGAACATACTTCAACGTTAATATGATAGTCAAATTTTGCACTTAAATAAGGATTATATGGTACAACCCACCGATTATCTAACATTTGGCCTCTTACTTTAATAGAAATACCATTATCACAACGTCTATACAAGGGATATGAATTATCACCAAATATAGTACTGTTACAATAATCCTTAGGATATTTATTTTTACAACCACTACTTGCCAACATACATACTTTTTTTGGATTAAGGGTTCCACAAGGGCCATGCATATTGTGTTTTGCAATTACAGAATTAAGATGCAAGTATTTATTCTTATCGGGAATTTCACATGACACTATCATATCAACTTGTTCAGCACAACAAATTTTATGGGCAGAGTTGAAAATCAACAATAAATGGGCATGAGGGAGCCCTCTTTTTTGAAATTCAATCATGTATATATGAGCAACAACTGAACCAAAAATATTTTCTTTGTATAAATCGTTCTTTAACTCTTCCAATTTTGCTCTAAATATACGTGCAATTAAATCTGGTCGATTTTGAACTTCGTCATTGTGTTTGAGTTCTTGCATAATTTCTGGCCAATATGGATTACATGTTATAGTTAGAAATATATCTGGTTTTCCATAACGTTGGACGATAGCCATTGCATCTAAATATCTTTTAAGCATATCTCTAGGCCCACATGTGAAAGTTTGTGGTAGAACAATCTTCTTTCCAATTTTTGACCCTCTTGTTTCACCATTTTGAACACTATCCACAATACTTTGATAAAGTTCAGCACGAATTTGTTTCTGATTGCTACGAAAATAGTCTAATCTGGCAGTTTCAATTTTAACATACATATCTACAACATATTGTTGAAAAAGTCTACCAGTATGAAGCAACACAGACTTACTAGAAGGCCTAATTTGTAACTTGTAAGAATAGTACTCGCGGCAGGAAACCTGTGATCGTTTCCTCATTCCATTGAATGCTGCATAAGGATAAAAAAAATGCATCTTACACCCATTCGGAACATTTAATTTATATGAATTAGTAAACATATAAAAAAGTTTAATAGCAAACCTTGAGCCTCATTTGCAATGATTTCAGTTGCAAAATTTACTGTGCTAGGAAAAGCTACGCAATCGGGTAAATTCTGAGTTTCAAAATATGTTTTTTTGTATCTCTGAATACCTTCATGCCAACCAAGTTCTCCAAATGGGAAAAGTAAAGGGTATTGTAAAGGATCATAACAACCATAATAATAGTGAACCTTATGTGAATCACCAGAATAACCATATATAGTAATATCACGAACACGAATATTTGCATTGTCATCATCCTCAATCCATACAGCGGCTACTTGAGATGCTGAAGGAGTATTGAAGACTCTTTGATCAAGTCCAGGATCGCATCTTATTTGTATTCGATGGTCGTGCAAATTGGTCATATTACTTAAAGACCTAAAGAATCTACTATACGGATTTACTTTCAAAATTTCAATCAAAATGATCAAAGTAGATTCAACAAAATTTTCTAAAATTGTCATACGATTTTCAACTTCGTTATTCGTATCATAAAAATATAATTGCATATACGAAGGCTGATTATTTTCCGGCAGAAGTTGATTTACATAATGATATACTTGTCCCTGAATTCTGAATGTGTAAATACCTTTATATGCTCTAAAAAGGTCTGTATCGCACTTTACACCAAATGAAGTGAATGCAAAATGGTTATTATATCCACGTGAAATTTTCTTAAACTCCATGCATTCAGGTTCTTTAGAAGTAAATAAATTATACAATTCAGTTGGTGAATCAGACATATAAAGTTTAACTTTTCCATCAGAGCAACAGAACCCTTTAGTTTCTCTATAAAATTTTCGCGCACCACAATGTTCACAATAGTTCCATGTCGGTAATACATATGCATTAGTAGGTATGTTTAATAGGTTAGAAATCCCTCGTACTTTAGAATGAACAATATTAGTACGTGATTCATTTGAAGTAGAAGCCTGAAAATTAGGATGCAACGTGGAATTATTCATTCTTTTACGACGATCAACGTGGACTTTGAATTTGATTCCTCCTATTTGCCTGTCTTTGGTTTTGTTGTTGGCGAATAAAAGCAGTATACGATTCAATTGCATTTTGAGAAGTACTATCAATGT